CTTCCTCGCTCTGATTCCCCTACTGAGCCGCTGCCCAGTGCTGGGAGGCCGGCAGCTGATGCACCGTGGTTTGCCACAGGGCATTCCCGTAACCCCCGCAGGGAGATTTGGGGCTCACCTCCAAACCGACCCTGCTGCAGCCTACACAGAACTATCCCACCCAGCCCAGCAGCGCCACCTCTTCGGTTCTGGCTCAGAATTCACTAGTTTCGGGCAAAATTCAAAGGGCACCCTGAGCAGAGGGGTGGGGAGCGCAGACCTCGAGCAGACTCGTCACGTGCATCCATCCACCGTGTCGATTTTTGCGGCGTTATTCACAACACCACGGCACGCGTCCGTGCGTCTGCAGGCGGGTTCAATAAGCCCCTGGAGATCCAGCCAGGCACGGTCTGGCCCCTCAACCACCACTAAACTACCTTTCCCAGGGGATGGTGGCCAGGGCACTTGCGCAGGAGGGCAAGGCCCTCCCGTAGGAGAACAGCCAGGGGTGCATCTCAACCCTCCCCGTGCTCCAGGTCTCGGCAGTCGCTTTCCCTTCCCACCACCCCCGGCTACCTGCTCAGGCCCAGCGACGGCAGCAGCAAGACCATGAAGATGAGGAAGGTGTAACACTTGTGCATGGTGGTCCTGTTCTCTCCAGACCTGTGGGCAGAGAGGGGGCTGGTTAACATCTCACCGTGGCCCGGCCAGCCCTAGGAGCGCTGTGCCCCTATCGCTTTCTCATCAGAAAGCGCTTCCCAGTGTCTAACCTGAAGCCCACCCTGTCCACTACTGGTATATGAACACGCTCCTTTTTCTCTCCAGGGTGCCTGAGGTCTGTTCTCCAGTCCCAGTTCCTCCCCTCTTGGCTCACAGGCTCTCCCAGCTCTCATATCTTTGGAGGACTCTCTGCCATCACCTCTCTCAGTCTGCAACCCTCAGAGCTGGTGACATCCTCCCCACCAGCCTTTGCAACACAGAGTACGAAACAAAGCTAAACCAAAATTCCTGTGGGGAACGTGCCCCACAAGCAGCACATTTCTGGCACTCTGCACTTCAAACACCTTCCCCACGGCCAGGAGCCACAGCAGCTAAGGAGATTTTCCCTTGGAAAAGCTATGACTTACACACGGGCACAGGCCCACCAGCCCTGCCTGCCCACCTGAGCCAAGGCTTCCCTCACTACCAGCATTTCTCACAGCGTCCAGCCCCAACTCCTCCCAACTTTCTTCTTCTTGCAGACCTACGTCAAGCTCTGCTCAAACCCTGCTGCCTAACGGCTAAGGACTGGCAAGAGAGCTGTCCGTGGCAGACCCCAGGTGTCCCAGAGGTGCAACACACCACATTTGGAGTGGAAGAGAGAAGTTCAAGCGGAAGGCTCCAGCCAGGAGCTTGGAGTGGCCAGGCAGCACGCTGGTACGACCAAGAACAGGCGCTGGCTGTGCTCACCTGGTCCAGTGCGCTTCGAAGAAGGCAGAGTAATACACGATGGTGGGCAGCAGGGCAGAGAAGCACCACAGCAGCAGGGTGGGGAAGAACTGGGTGATGATGGGGTTCTGCAAGGAGGCAGAGACCGCACGTTACACGGCGCGGCCAGCCGCGGGTACAGCT